CCTCTGAAAGTATCGGAGTGACATGATTAAAACTGCCTTTCAGATACAAAAGAGTACCTATATCTATTTATATGCATTGATAAAAGTACAAAAGTAGGTGGAACTAATCTATGATGAAGTCAAGAACGTGATTAGCTTTGAGCAGATATCAGTGGGAAGGGTTTGGGGAATGGGGCTTCTGGGGTGGGGCAAATGTTCTGTTTCTTGATCAGGGTGCTGGTTACATGGATGTGTTCACTCAGAAATTTTACATGCTATATGCTTATGCTTTGTATTATTTTATGTAAATATGTCATGCTTCAATAAAAAAGTTTTTAAAAACTACCTTTCAGGAAGACTCTAGTGTCAGTAAGGAAGATTCACGCATTTGTTCATTCCACACTTACTGAGCACTGTCTAAGTGCCAGGTTTTGGATGGGTTGCAGAGGTGAGATTGAGGGTGAGAGATGAGCAATGAAATTCGTTTCAACAATCCCAGGGAGGGGGACATGGGCCTGAGCAAAGGTGGGAGCAGAACTCAAGGAGGCCTCTTTTGTCCCCCTCTGCAGGACTTCCTACATTCCACCTGGTATTTTAATAATGTAGAGTAGGGGTTAAACTGAAACAGACTTTCATTCCCCAGTTCTGCTACTAGGTGACTTTGAATAAGTTGGTTAACCATTCCAAGGCTTAGTTTCTCCATGTGTAAATTGGAAGTGATAGTTATAGTACCTACCTCATTGGATTGCTAAGAAGAGTAAATGAAGTAAATGGAATTTTTTCCTTCACATAGCACTTGACATAGCAAGCACTCAAAGTTAGATATGAGCATATCTTACGATTTTATATAATGACAGTGGATTCTTTTTATAATCATGTCCCAAAAGTTAATTAAGGAAAACATACACACACACTTAACCACCTGGGTCTGCGGCTAGGCTTTGTGAAACAGGTCCTTGGGGGAAGAAAGGGAAGCCTGGTATGTGTGTGTGTGTGTGTGTGTGTGTGTGTGTGTGTGTGTGTGTGTTGGGGGTGTGGGATGGATGTGGGGAGCAGATGGACTTCTGAGGAGAGCATCTGTAGGCCTGTGTACAGAGATCTGGGTTCTCCAGCTCTAGCAACATCTGGGAAGCAGTTTCATCTTCTTGGAATCTCACCCTGAGCAGCTGAATCTTATCACAAAGTAGTTGTTTTGAAACTGAGCACACTTAGAGCTGAGGAAACCAGAGTCCCATTAGTTCTGGGTTACCTCTGCAGAAGACTACGACACTTTCTAGGCATGAGGCAGTCCTCTGTCTGGTGGCTGGGTAACATAATTGATAACTTTGTTACAATTCCAGTGCATTCTCTTTCACCCCAAATCTCTTCCTGTTCTTGGGAACAATGTTAATTTTTATTCTCAGGCAAGAATTGAAAACCTGCATCTGGCATATGCTTGCATTATAAAAACACACAGAGTTCAAGAGGGAGAGGTCTAGCTCACAGCCATCAGAGGTGTTTTGGGAAACAAGACTCAACTCTTCTAACTCAGATACCTTCTACCTATCTTGATGCGGGGGCATTCCTGGGGTTGCCTGTACCTGCAGGGGTCAGCAAAGTAGGTTTACAGTTGTAATACAAATAAGTACATACAATAATTAATAAATAATAATACAAGAATAAACTCTGTGTTTCCCATACTCACACTGGTAAACCTACTTTTGCCCAACGCTGCATACATCGCTCCACAGAAAAGGGGAACAAGGACTCTGTCCTCCATATCCCTCATCACCTGGCTCAACCCTGAGCACACCTGGGCATACCTTTGTGGTCTAAGACTTGAGCTGCCTTTTTGGACCTCTTGTGGGCAAATGAAAGAAGCTTTGGTATTTATTTACTGGTCCCAGAAATTGGCCTTGTTTATTGAGAGACAGGAGATTAAGCTTTCAGGCTGTACAATTAGCTTGTCTGCTATAGTCCTGGCTGTGTGAACTGTGTACCTCAGTTTGCTCATCTCTAAAATAGAGATGATAATAATACTTATCTCTTGGTATTACTGTGGGATTAAATGAGCTAGTACTTATAGAGCAGGGCCCTCATAAATGTTGTTGTGGTTTGTACTATTACTGTTATTATTATATTTGATATTTCTCCCATTTGTTACATTTCTGTTTTTTTGAGTTCCTTGTAGGAGATATTCCAAATTTTTCATTTTGCACTAAGATCAGTGTTTTGATCTTAGATTTAATATTACTTCCTTCTTTAGATATCATTCACATGCCATAAAAGTTATCCATTTAAAGTATATATTTCAGTGATTTTTCCTATATTCTCAGTTGCACAACCGTCACCACAATGTAACTTCAAAACCTCTCAGCACCCTGAAGAAAAACCCTGTAGCCATCAGCAGTCATTCTCTCTTCTGACTCCCCCCTCTCTGGCCCCTAGCAACCACTAACCTGCTTTCCAACTCTACGATTTGCCTATTCTGGACATTTTATACAAATGGAATCATACAACATGTGGCCTTTTGTGTCTGTTTTGTGTTCTTGTGTTCTTCCATTTAGCATAATGTTTTCAATTCATGCACGTTTTATTCTTTTTTCATTGTCAAATTGTCACCAGTGAAGGGGTTCTTGCCCCTGACCACCCCCACCTCCCCCACCCGCCCCTCTGTAGAAATGAAGAGAGGAAGCAGAACAGATTCAAAAAAGAAGAGGTTTGACCTGACGAGTGTTTCACTTGGTTGAAACAGTGGCTCACTTGGTTGGGCATCATCCTACAGAGCAAAAGGTCACCTATTCAATTCCCGCTGGGGCACATGCCTGGGGTGTGGGTTCAGTCCCAGTCAGAGAGAGTGCAAGAAGCAGCTGATTGATGTTTCTCTCTCATGTTGACATTTCTCTCTATCTTTTTCTCCCTCCCTTCCCCTCTTTCTGAGGGTAAATAATTTTTTTTAAAAAACAGCTAAACTTAAAGAAGAAAAGGAAGAAGAGGTTTGCTGAAAACAAGGTAGAGAGAAAGGAGAAAGGTGGGGGCTTGACGCATCAAGGGAGCACACACTGGCACCATTTGGGTATGAGCTCTCCAATTTCTCCTACAAACTATTGCTATTGTCTTTTCTATTGTAGCCGTTGTAGCTGGTGTGGAGTAGTATCCCACCATGATTTTGGTTTGCATTTCCACATGATTAAATATGTTAAATATCTTTTTACACACTTGTTGGTCATTTTGTATATCTTCTTCAGAGAAAAAGCCATTCAAGTACTTTGCTGATTATAAATTGGGTTGTCTTTTTATTATTGATTTGTAGGTGTTCTTTATATATTCTGGAGACTAGTTCTTTACCAATATATGACTTAAAAATGTTTTCTCCAATTCTGTGGGCTACTTTTTTACTTTCTTGATTGAGTCATTTTGTGCAAAAAGGTTTTTTTATGAAGTCAAATGTATTTTTTCTTTTGTCACTAAGTTTTTGGTGTCATATTTAAGAAACCATTACCTAACCCCATGTTGTGAAGATTTACACCTGTGTTTTCTTCTAGGAATTTTATAGTTTTATCCCTTAAATTTCAGTCTATGTCTCAGAGATTCTATCCATTTGGTAGTTTTTCAATTATTCTGAGTCACTACCACAAATCTAGTGCAGATAATTATTCTCTCTCCCTTGAGATACTGCAGCATTTAGCTGCTCATCTCATATCCACTCATGTTCCCTGAATCTGGCCTCCCCAGTGCATCCCTTCTAGACACACCTTGCAGGACCCTTGGATCCACTATCTGTCCCTCTAGACTGTAAGATCCTTGAGAACAGTTTTTGTCTTCTATTTCTATATATGTCCTGTGGTCAGCCGGAAACTCACTGTTGTATAAATGAATAAAATTTTGAAAAATCAAAACATTGAGAAAATTATAAAATTTAACATCATAAACTATCCCACATTGGGGATGAACCATGAACATCTGAGCCAACAGCTTCCCTGAATAACTCATGGTGAGTCAACCTTGGTTAGCCAAGGCCACACTTATGATGGCTGCTTTGGTGCCATGCTCTGGGCTCCTCGCACTGAGCTTCCTTTGGGTCTAGAATTAATGTAGTCTTAAAGTGTGTCACATGGTTATTGCTAGAAATCACTACCTTCTACTGGATTGGTCTTTACTGATACCCGACACACTGAAGCCACGCGGCTGCTCAAGAGAGCCAGTCTGCTTCAGAGGAACCATCCTCAGGAGCTCATCTTTCCCCTGGAAGGCTCTGATCAGAAATCATAGAACTGGCCGATCTTTGTCTTCAAGTTCTTCACACCAGCCCTGCACTCACATCAGCTTTCTTTTCTCATCAACCATAGAAGCACCTTCCAATGTTTGCTGATGGGACAGTACTCATGTTCTGATTTCTAGCAGCAGGGTCATGCCATTGACAGGTTTTATCTATTTCTTCATTTGGCAACCTGCTTAACACCTCTGAGTCTCAGTGTAGCCATTTTTAAATGGGAATAAAATCATAAATATCTGATGAGATTATTGTGAAGATTAAATGAGATGAAATGTATACTGGGTTTAACATCACATTGCAAAGATTTTATGAATGTCAACTATTATTAGTTTTCTATGTTTGTTTTAAAACAAGATTTGGGGTAGCTATGAAAACCTGAGCAAAATTATAAGGGAAAACCACACTCAAGAAGGATATCGTATTACCCCCAACAATGAGGATTTTAGCTTTCTTTCATCAGATGGCAACCTGGCCATTCATTCACTCACTGGATCAGCACTTAACTCTGAGCAACTCTCGGGCATGGCAGCACATATGAAGGAGTGAGAGACTTTGTTTACGCTTCAGATAGGGGAGCAGAGCCCAGGGATACCCAACTGAAACACAGCATTGCAGGAAATGTGAGAGAAAGTGGAGAAGGGCTTGCCTGGGGAGCAGCCCTCACATAGGATGAGTTGAGTCTGCAGTTACTTCCTATTTTGATCATATCTGCTGCATGTTCATGTTTCAGCAACCATCTTGGGGCTAAATGTGACAAAGCAAGAATATGGCCAGAATTAACACTCAATACTCCCCCCCAACCTGCCCCATCCTGTGGTAAGGACCACAGACAGAGATCTTGATCACCTTGAAAACAGCCTCTGCAGGTAGGATGGATTTTTTTATTTTATGCCTGGAAAAGGTTATTCCCATAGCTGATCTATATTGTGGGGTAAGAAATGCCTTTACCTGTCACCAGCCGCAGGTCAGTGGACTGGGGCTATTCACAATAAGCCTCCTAACTTCATTTATCGTCTCACTGAATCCCCACAACCTACACTGAAGTAGCTTTTGGTCTTATTTTAGAAATGTAGGGAAATAAGGGTCCAAGGGTCTAGAGTTACATAACTTCTAGAAAGTAACAAAATGAAGATTCAAATGGGGCAGGTTGAACTCTACTGTAGAAATTTCTCCAAACTTCCACTGATGCGGACCCTGGCTCGTGGGGTCTGGGACATTGAGGATGTGAGAGAGACATTCACACGCACTGCAGAGTCCTGCAGAGGAAAAGGGCGAGCAGCCATTCTCTCAAGAGGAGCTGAAAGCCACAGCCTCCACCATGACAGCCTTTATTTCTTTTTCTTGGGCTCATTCCATGATGGTCCTCACTAACTATGCACAGGTTCCCTTTAGGTGGTTAGCTACCTTTTACAGAAAACAAAGGAGCCTATTCCATGCCACTAATCACATCACAGAAGAGGGATATTTGCAAATGAAAAGGGAAAACTAGTTAAACCAGTTACACTCCATACTGGGGAGTTTTAGCTTGGATTTTAGGAAGTTACAGTAAGCACTTGTCGTCTCAATTCAGGGTGAGGGAGTTTTAGCAAAAGCAAGTCTCAAAGTGGCCTAGGCACATTGCAGACCTGATTCCCCATGGGAGAACCTATCCATGGGTGTGGGTCCTGTGTATCTCTGATTGGGAGCTGGGACCACACCATGCAGAACCGTCATCTACACGCCACACCTTCCCAGGTATACAGCAAACATGTACTGGACTCTACATATGCACCAGCCATTGTCCTGGGCACTGGGGATGCTCTGCCCTCATTTCCAGGGGCAGGTCGGGATTTACCCTGTGCTCATTGGCCCGTAGGGAGTGGGTCATGCCCTGCCAGCGAAGCCATTGACCTTGTCAATGACATCCCAACACACTCAGCTGTAGGAACATCTGTGGCCTTGAGTTCTACGTCTAGCCTGGTTGCTAACTTACTAGAAGACTTGGGAAAATTCACCTTAACCTTTCCATGCCTGTTTCTTCAACTGCAAAATGGAGCAGCATTCTTTTCCAAGTTCCTGACATACTAGTGAAGGAATGGGAGAGTGTCTATTTGGTATAAGTGGACTTACCTTTTCACACTTCTTAAATTCCCAATGAGTTAAGTGGAGCCATGAGAAACTTTATTTCCAATAGGTGTGTTATTTTTGTCTTACATATATAACACTGAAAATTTTCCTTCCCATGATAACTGCATATTATCTGATGGTCAAAGCACTGCGATGACAGTCCATCAGTTCCCACGTCACTGGCATTGGGTCCTTGTCCATCATTTCTCCTCACTCAGGTGCACATTTGCCTCTTCTTGGTCTGGGTTCTTGGTTCCAGCTCCTTAACAAACTCTGGACAACAATTTCCAGAGAGATTGAGTCCCTGTTATTGAACATTTATACAACCCTGCCCAGTATGGCCCAGTTGGTTGAGAGTCATTCTGCAGAGTTAAGGGTCGCTGGTTTGATTCCCAATTGGGGCACATGCCTGGGTTGCAGGTTCATTCCTGGGTCAGGGTGCATGCTGGAGGTGGTTGGCCAATCCATGTTTCTGTCCCTCTTTCTCCTTCCCTTCCCCTCACTCTAAAAACAAATAAATAAAATCTTTGGGAAAAAAAAAAGAAATTTTATGTAGCTCTTGGCCCCCACCTTTTGGGATTCAAGCAAAAGGAGGAAAATCTCCAAGCATCCCAACAGAGATTTATTCCCTCCATCCATTTCAACAGGGTGCTGGAGCCTTGGGAAATTTGATGTGATCCAGGGGCTTCAGAAACCCCCACCCCCTCACATTGCGTCCTCCTACCTGGTCTGCTGTCATTATCTGTTTACCACCACTGGGGACTTACTCCTTTAGGTTAAGGCATTGCCCCTTACTTAAAGGAAAACAGAATATTTTTAGGACACTAATCTGCTATTAATACTTTGATATGCATGAATAGTGTCCTTCCCATATCTGAGCTAATAAAGTCCCTCGAAGGTGGGCTTCGAAGGAGTTTGGGGGGAGGGGAGAAAAGGCCCAAGCATGGGGCATGTTAGGGTGGTGGGTGACACAGGCTGTGAAAGAATTCACAAAAAGAAGAAAATGTAGCAAATAAAGTTTTTAGTCACTCTCCAAGAAAGGAGAGGGGCAAGGTGTGGAGAGACACACCAGCCCTGAAGGGTGGGGGCTTTGAGTTTTTATTGGATTATAAGTGGATTAAAAAAGGGTGGGGGTGGCTGCTGCATGGCCCCTGGGCTGCTGGAAACAGGAGACTGCAGTTTGTTCCATGTTATCTTCTGCCTGTGTCTGTGGGGAGAGGTTAGTTCTGTTCTTTCTTTCCAATAATTCCAGTTCCAGGGACATAGGCTCAGAAGAGTAAAATGTCAGTCATGTTTAACAAGGCCACAGGCCTGCTCAGCAAATGGTGCCACCAGAGCTAATGACGCTGACTTTATCCTTTCAGGGCACAGCAGTAAGTTCAGGCTCCCTGGGCAGCATCTGGCTCCCAGGATCTTGGGCTGTCAGGATCAGGGAGAATTGAAAACAAAATGGAACTTTCCCTCACTGCCCCCTTTTGCCTCCAGTGGGACATAACCAGAGCATCTCTTGGAGCTTGCAGCTCCCTGGGGCTGAAAAGAACAGCAGAGTCTCAATCTGGCTCCTTCTAGTGAGACACTTAAGAGAAGGAAGGCCCAGTGGTGCCGAGACTATTGCCCAGAATGACCGCTTAACCAGACACCACAGTGGTCCGGCTCTGCCTGATTTGTCCTGGCTCTTCCTGGGCCAGTGGCCTGCAAGCCCTGACATTCAAGAGGGCTCTTAAGGACCCCTGGAAGATGAGCCTTTGCAAAAGGAATTGCTAGCTTATTAAGACACACTGACACCTAGCGATGGGCTTCTGGCTTCCAAGAGACTCACTGTGGGCTCATGTCAGTTCAGATTCGCTCAGGGGGTCAGTCATCCACACAGGTCAGGGCTCTGAAGCAGTGCCCTTCAACCATGCTATTTGCCACCTCCAGGCCCCCCACCATCCCCCATTCGGACCAGCATGATGGCTAACAGCACAGGTGAGGCTTCAGACCTGAACAATGGCTCCATAACTGACCAGCTCTGAAAAGATGCTTAACTGCTCCAAGTCTCAGTTTCTTCATCTGCATGATGTACTAGCACTTACCTCAGAGGCCTGCAGTGGGGTTTAAACAGGTGAGAGCTCTTGACTCAGTCCCTGTTTGCAGTAAGTGCTCCCTGAACACTCACTGTCAGTCTTGGAAATGAGTCCCCCTCGTGTGGGCCTTCTGTATCCTAGGCTGGACATCTCCTTCTCAGAGAGCCCCAGCTGTTCCAACATCTGGAAATGGCCCTTTCCTGACTATGTCCCAGTCATGTTTTCTCAGGCTGACCACTAGCTAAGTCTGTCTGAGCTCCACCTGAGGTCTTGCCCAACTGCTCATTTGGGAAAATCTTGTTGGCAAATTAATACTGAATCCCATGAAAACACTGCATAGAAGGGGGAGAGAGAGAGAGGGAGCGAGAGGGAGAGAGAGAGAATGTTTCTTTCATGAGAGAAATGCTGTGCTTTATCCCGTGAAAGCAGGAGTGGGTAAACAGATAGAAATTTCCAGAATGGGCCCCATGGCATCACCAAGGATTTAGAACCATATTTAGGCTGGGAGTGGAGCAGTGGGGTCCAGGCCCCTCTCCTGCTTCCCAACACAACCCAGCATCTGTCTAGTCACAGACTAATTTTCCCGGTAAGATTTATTTGAACATGGGATTCTGGCACATACAAGAAAACATTTTAAAGTTTCAAGTCACTATTTTAGGGGAGGAAATAGTGCTTGAACAAACCACATATCTTCACCTTAAACTTCAAATCTTTTTAGAAAGCTTTTGGGAGAAATAACTGTGAATGAGTGTCCTCTTTGTCCTCGGTGACACCCAGCAGCTGTGTGGGAGCCTGTGTGTCCCAACCCTTTGCTGAAGCCCCACGTGGTTGGAGATGTGGAGGCCTTCTCTCCTGAGAGACCTCTGCCCCCAGGGTTTTTGGTTTTGTTTGTTTGTTTTTACCAAATTGGAGATCCAGGTTTCTGTTTCTCTTTTTAAATCACTGGGGTCAATTTCCTGGTGAACAGTCATGAGGAAGAATGAAAGCATTTCATTTAACAAAAAAATTAAGTTTACTCCCTAAAAATACCAAAATTACAAGTTTGGAATTTTTATTTTCTATTTAGATCTGTTTGGTTGACGATTATTTAAGAGCTTCCTGGTATATTTTTGAGGATGACACAATAGGGAAAGACTCCAGAATCAAAGGCAGAAAGTTGCAACTGGGACCAAGGGCACCCCAGGTCCCAGCCCAATGTCCTGGGGCAGCTATTTTAGGCGAGCTTTGGGGCTAAGAGATCTGTATCCTAAAGAAAAGGCACTTTCTCCATGTTGACCCCTGAGCTAAGTCCCAAGGAATTGCCACTGAAGAAAACCATTTTCAGCTGCTTGACCAGAATGAAAAGCAAAAATGCAGCAGCTTCAGTTCCCTGGGCACACACAGCCAATGGCAGTGCATGCTGGTCACTCAAGTTCCTTGGGACTTGGAAGGAAGAAAAGAAATATAATGTACCACCATACTCTTCACTCTTGTTCTAAAAAGTCACTTCTGGTACTCTCATGTCCCCAAAGTCACTGGAGGAAGACACCAGATGCTCCATAGAGGGCTAAGTTAATTAATTACCACTTCCAGTTTTGATGAGACCTCTGTCCTCTCCCAATGACAGAGGACACATGTACCTCAGAGACATCACTTCCTCTCTATAAAAAAAACATAGAAGGTGAGCATTGTATGTTGGAAAATACCTTGTCTTTCAAAAAGAGTCACCTCATTGTGTTGCGCTCCTTGCTCTTGTTATTGCTACTTACCATGTTCATGGGGCTTTTTCCTGCAAGAACACCATCCCTGCCGAGAGCTAGGGTCTGTGAGTGGGAAGGCAGGCAGCTTCAGGGTTGTCCTGACCTGATCTGCCCATTTTGCAGAGACTGAGGCCCTATGAAGTCCTTGCCCCAGGCCCCCCAGCCAGCTCCGGGCAGACCAGGGTCCAGTTCCCAGTCTGTCCTGCCTCTGAATTTCCCTAGAAGGTTCTAGGTCCCATTTTTGCATTGATTGCCAAATGTGTCTCTGTTTTCTCAGTACCTGTGCATCCTTGGGGACTATAAATGTCACCTCAGACATTTGGTTCCTCTCCTCTCCTCTTGTCTTCCCTTCTACCTCAGAGGAGTAACTAATTGGGTTTACTGTTTAAATACACCAGGCATTTAAGAATATAGGAACTCTGACCTAAAAGAAAGACATCACGGTAGAAATTCAAGCATCAAGAACCAAGTGCGGAGATGCATGAGGAAGAAAGGCTCCTTTGGGCCCCATGAACTTAGATCACATGAGGCTCCCGCTGTTCCCAGAGGAAGAACAGTCTGGAAATAGATTCTTCCATGCTGTCACAGAAAAGGAATGTCAGGGACACGTGTACGGGGACTTTAAGAGACAGTGCAAAATTTACTAGAGTTCCCTTGAAAAGGCTGCCACACTCCATGAGGCACTTCCCCAGTGCTCAGCTGGTGCGAGTCCACTGCCCCCAGGTTTACCACCCATATGTCTCACCCACGACCAGGTGGTTCAGCTCTGTCTTGCTGTGGGCGAAGTCTAGCTTCAGGGGCAGCAGGCCCATCAGGCCCAGGAGGATCAACAGGGCCCAGAGCTACATCACTCCAGCACCCACGGCTGACTTTGGGCAAGTTACTAAACTTCCCTGTGCCTCATTCCCTATCTGCACATCCACCACCAAGACTCAGGGGCATTTGGCCAGGTTGCCCCTGCTCTCTGGCCCATGGGGCTGCTAAAGAGAGACTGGGGCCTTCCTTAAGCTTCCCTTGACTTTCTTGAGTTTGGGGAGGGGTAAGCTTTCTTTCAAACCATCCAATCTCTTTCCTGGCTTTTCTCAGGTTTGCATACTTATCCTGTTCGATCTTTTCCCCAAATTTTCCCATTTTTGCCTGCACCCCTTTGTGGTCGCCATTTTGGCTCCTACTGTGCGTGCTTCCATACAGGAATTTCCCCCTCACCGTTCCTCCTTCCCCCATTAATCTGGGGAAAATGAGGGGTTGTTCCCTGGGGTGACTGGAAAGCCTGTATTCCCTGAGTGATTGGACCATTCCCTGGAGTGTCTGTGAAACTGTAGTTTCCTAACTTCAGGCTCAGCCAATTTTCTTCCTTCTCTTTTGTTAAACATAACTAGCTCACTACACTAATAGCCCCATTCTTCACAGCTAAACGCACCTTCTGGACTTGGGTCTGTTAACTACTCTTAAATCAATATGAAATCCCATTTTCCCCTTTCTTTCCTCTTTGAAGAACAGGAAGTAAACTCAGGAAGCACGAGTGGACAGCCCACAGAACACCTGGCTAACAAAAGCTGGGGTAGGGATTGGACCCAGGCCTCCCACACTGCCATCTCCCCTCCAAGTGAGTGCCAAGGTCCTATCCACACACAATCATTCTCACTGAGGCCAGCAGCAGACCTGCTTTGAAATTGGGGTGGGTTCTGCTCTCCTCACTAGCTCACAAGTTCTGATGTCGTGGGTTTGACCCTTTGCTGCTAACGCAACTAAATCTGGTTTCAGGATGTGCCTCCCCCGCTCCATAATTAACAGAAACCAGACTCAGCAGAAATGCTGGGCTGACAAATAAATGACCTCTTGGTGCCAAGAACTCCCTAAGGACCTGCTGATGAAGACAAAACATGTCCCCCTTGGGGTTGCCTCCAGACCTTCCATTTGCTCCTGCTGTGACCAAGCTCCAGGCCCCTATCCGTGTGCTGCCCCCTCTCACCAACCCCACAGGCCAGCTGCGAGGATCCAAGGGCTGTCTCCTCCTCTTGTAACTGACCTCAGTGCCTTGGAATGTGCATTCCTCCTTTGTAATACACAGACTATTAGAAGGGCAACTGAATTGTAGCTTCCTAACTGTGGCAGGACCTGACAGAGTCTCCTATGTGTATAAGGATGAGCTATTAGTGGTCTCTTGTGGGTATAAAGGTAGAATTCAATTAAGTGGTTTAGAAATAAAGAGCCATGCCTACACAGTGCAGCTAGCTGTGTGGATCAGAGTCTCTAGTTGTATGCCACAGGGTTTGGTCCTCAGCCGTGTCCTATTTAACTTTTGCTTTAAATAGTACCATATATACAAGAGGGCAATTTTGTGGCATGGATGCAAGCAGGCTTTGAAGTGGGATGGAATGGCATTCAAATCTCAGCTTTTCCACTTGGCTATATGCCCTTGGAAAAGTTACTTAACCTCTTTGAACCTTGTTTTCCTCTATTATATGGTTATTATGTGGATTAAATGGTAAAATGTATGTGGCTGGCCTACAGGAAGCAGTAAATAAATGGCATACAATTTGTGATTGTATTTGTGAATGAGATGGAGTTGGAAGGAAAGACTCACATAAATGGAAGGTCCAATACTTACTTCCAACAAGTAAATTGTACACACATAAAACAGGACCTTCTGGCTTAGCCACAGTCTTGTTATAGGACTTTGGGTTTTTGCTGATAGTAGTTGTTGATGAGGCACCAAAAGCACATGAACCCACAGACATATAAAGACCTCTGGCTTGGGGTCCAGTAACAGCAGGGTGGTCTTTGTTTTCCTGCTCAGTCAGGTGGGAATGCAGGAACCTGCTCCCAGAGGAATGACCATGGCAGGAAGAGACTTGAACCTGCTGAGGCATGGCTGGGTAAGCTGAGGGTTTCAGGCTGGAAAAGCTGCACAGGTACGAGAGCTGTCTCATCATGGAAGGTGGCTGTGAAGAAGATGGAGGTGCCCAGCTCTGTGTGTTTCCAGCAGAAGAAAGCAGCCTTGGTATGGGGAAGCTGAGAGAGGGGAAAACCTGCTAGCAGTAGAGGCTGTGCAAAGGTGGCCCCATTGGGACATAGGTACAGGATTCTAACTTCTGACTGCTCACTGGGGAGGAATGGGGCCTTTTCCTCTGACATTAACTCCTCTTTCAGCCTTTACCACCGTGTTAAGAAGGCTGATTGGGTTGGAATAGATCATGAGATAGAATTAACTTGTCTTGCCTGGGCTCTTCAAGACTCACAGAATGAAGTGTAAATCCCTAAAGGCCAGTGCCTGGATAGCTTTTAATCAGGTTGTTCAAACATCAGCCCCAGGAGATTTTACAAGAGATGGAGAAAAGAAAAATATTCCCAGACACACTGGTCTTATTCCAGGCAATTCCATAAACACTAAGGAAGGCCTCCTCAAGGTGGCGGCACTTGATCTTGCCTCAGAAGATGGGGTTTCGTTAGGCAGAGGTGAGTTTGGACCAAAGTCCTCCTCTGGAATCAGTGTGGAAATAGCTGCTGTGGCTTGAGATGGCGGCACTGGGACCTCCCCATCCCAGAGCTCTGATGAGGACCAGTTGCCGCTGGCTTGGCCCTCTCACTGAGCCCATGGTAGAAAGCAGCTGGTCTCGAGCTACTTTCCTTGGTCAGGCTTGCTGTAAAGGAAAGGCTTCATTTATCCTAAGAGCCAGGGCCTGCAGCAGTGTGACCCGAAGTGGAGAGCCCCTGGGTTGAGGCCCTGTGATGGCAGCTGTCCTCATTAAGCATGGCATCTGGCCATCTCATTCCTGAGTGTGTCTGGAAAGTGGATGAGCTTGAAATCAATTCAGTCTGCCACATATTTGATTTCCTAGGACCCACTTGCCATGCGAGGAGACATCGTCAGGACTGCAGCAAAGGATCGCCATGGAGACCAGAGGAGGGTCTGAATCCAGGCAAGCCTCCTTCACGGGCCAGGATCCTGCCAGGTAACTGATGGGTCTCAAACTTCACCTTGGGAAGGGGGAAACTGAGGCAGAAAGGAAGTAGATGCATCTCAGAAAGAAGTGGTGGTGGGGGTGGGTTGAAGACTTAGAGAAAAAGGAGGCAGGAGCAGAGCAGTCAGAAATCCATCAGTGAGTAATTCTTGGGTCAGGTGTCCTGAGCTCAGAAAAGTCTAATAAAAACTTCCTTTATCTGAAATTGCTTTAGTAAAAGTGATATTGTGGGATTTGCTCAATTCTGGAAGAATTCAGAAAAAAAGCCAACCAGGGAAGGTTCAGAAAAAAATTCAGGAATAAAGTCCATCCAGCCATGGGAGACCCTTGGGTGGACCATCCAGCAGGCAGAACACAACACTGGCACTTCTGAAGCAGCCCCTGGCAGATCCTCACCAGATAGCGTGTGTCCGTGTGAAGGCATTTGAAAGGTTAACCCGGCTCTGTCTGCTTTCCGGTGCCATCTGTACTTCGGCTTCAGTAGCTGTACCACCTGAGGGAAATCATTGCACCTTTTCAAGTCTTGTATAGGAAGGCGTCTACCCGCACTGGCTCCAGGGGTCCAGTGGCTGTAGGGGCTGCCTCATATCCAGGCACTGACTCGCAACAGGGGTCCACAAATCCAGGCTCATTGTTTCCATGCACCAATATTTTTAACAATGCCATAGTTATTTTGGATAATCATGTGTTCTACAGTTTTTGCCTAAGATAATTGCAAAAATTTTTATTTACTTATTCTTCACATTTTTCATTGTGAAGGTTGCTACCATTATTTATTTCACTATTCCATTATAGTTGGACATTTAAGTGATTTGCAGTGTTTTTGTCTTACTAATGAAGTGCTGTCTGAAGTCTCATTGACTGAAAGGAAGAGAATGCCTTCAAACTAGCTCAAATTATAAGACCTGGGACAGGGCTGGGCAGGGTGCTGGTGGAAGGTGAGATTCAGGCTACCTCATAGAAACGGAGCCCGTGGGGCTCATAAGGGGAGCTGGGGAGGCACTCCTCCCTCTCATTTTCTCATGGACTTTTAGGTCTTGGTGCTTTTTTTCTGCCTGTCTCCTTTGTTTCTGTCTCTCTGCTCACACATCAGCAGGCACAGGCTGAAAATGGCCTTCACCATGTGATCTTGAGTTGAAACATTCAGCCCATGTTGGAGCGGCTCTTAGGTCAGTAGCATGAGTGACTCTGATGTTCAGATGTCCATCTCTGAGCCCTTTGGCTGAGGCTGGAGGGGTGGTATGGCCTTGGTTTCACCTCCTTGGCAGGGGGAAGTTGTGGAAAGGGGGAGAATCCAAAGCAGATAAGTTGGACTGAGAGGCAGCTTGACAGATGTCCACAGCAGCAGCTGTAAGCATCTGTTCCTGGGATGTTTTCTTGCCTCAGTTTATTCCCTTAGGATACGGTCACAAGAGTGCAATTAGGGTCACTGTGGGTGACAATTCGTTACTTTATTCCATGTTGCTCAGAACTATTTTTAATGGGAACTGTGATGTGCACTGTTGGTGCCAAGTCAGGGAAACCAGACACCAAAATAAAGAGCTGAGCCTCTCCTCCCATTTGCCCTGGCAGAGACAAGGACAGCAGGAGGCTGGGCTCAGGGAAGCTGGAGCTAAGACTAACACTGTGGACATGGACTAGTGGTCTCAGGGCCTGAGGCCCTGGTGGGGTCTGGCTCCAAGAGAAGGGTCAAGGGAAGGTGCAATGGAATGTATGTACGATCTAGTGAGAAGATGAGAGTTTGTATAAGAAGCCATAGGACAAGGGTTGGGGGAAGACTCTATGTTGTGTCTGAGGGTGCCCTGGCCAGGCGGCTCAGTTGGTGGGAGCATCACCCTCATCCCATACACCCGAAGGTTCCCAGGTCAGGGATGCATAAGAGAGGCAACCGACATGTTTCCTGCTCATGTCGATATTTCTCTGTAGGTAAGGATTTTTTAAAAATTCTATCTGAGGGCTTGTTTCCTTAAACCTTGCTGTAAATTTTTCCCCATCAGGAAATGGTATTTTTTACTATGCTTATCAGTGTTAACAGAGAGTTTCACAAGGGACAAAAGGAACAGTGAGCAGAAAAGCTTGCTCATGTCCATTTGAAGGCTCATGCCTTTGTGGAGTCAAGGTGTTAGGGAGACAAAGCCATTGTGAGGACAATGCCCCCTATGGAGGAAGCTGTGTTCTGGGTGCAGGTGTCAGAGGAGACAGAAGTAAAAGGCCCCAGCAGAGTGAGGTGCGGCCTGAGCCTGGGACCTAGAAAGAGACAGAGCTTTCCTCTTCCTCCTCTGTGCGCTGGCTGCCTGTCTGTGCCCTTCCAGGCTATGGAGCCTCATTGCCTCACTGCGAACGTGGGCTTCCAGGCACTTACAGCACCAGGACCAGAGACCTGACTCCTTCCTGGAGCGTTTCCGTGGAGCTGAGCTCAAAGAGGTGTCCAGCCAAGAAAGCAGTGGCCAGACCAATGTGAGTGGCCAGGAGTCACCAGACAGAGAGAGCAGGTAAAGAGCCAAAAAAAAGATGAACCACCCATACCAGACAGGCAGCAGGAGGCATCGCTTGCTAGTTCAGCTGTAAGCTTCTCCTGGAAGAAGGCTTCTGTCCTGGGGGAGAACCAAGTGCTCTAGCTGTCACTGCCCAAGTGCAAGAAGTCCTGCAGGAGAGAAACCCTTTAACCACAGTCCCCAGCCTCATGTGAAACTTGACCTCATCCTATTCAGAGCTCAGCTAGTGTCCCCTGTAATTGGTGCTCTCAGAAACACACACAGGGGTGATTGCCTCACCCATCTCTGTCCACCAAAGGACCTTCTTCCTAGACTGCACTGTAACCCACCTTGGTACAAACCCACCTTGATACCATGAGCCTCTGGGAGGACCTGAATGGTACCCAGTTTTATGCATAGGTATACGTGCATTTTTCCGGGAATAAGGTTGAATGTTGGTGAGAATTTTTAAGGGGAACCACTCATATTGCAGATCAGGTTAAAAATCATGGGGGGAAGATACAAGGAAAGGTTAGGGTGGAGAAGTATTTGCTTTTTGATAGAAGAGCCTGCAGAACAAGGGTCCCAGACATCTTCTTCCCTGACCCACTCTCAATGGGGAGCTTGTGGCCAGTGCCACAGGGGCAGAGGTGTAGAGAATGCAGGCGCTGGACTGACACCCCACCCCACCCCCAGAATCCACATAGCCACTGCCTCTCTCTTCTCTTTTTCTTGAGAAATCTCCCTAGCCATGGTCAGTGGGGAGGCCACTGGCCCACCACTAGCTGAATCAACAGTCACTGAGCAGCAGGGGTCTCCAGGACCCGAGAGGCAGTTGGAGGGAAGGCAGGAGAGACATGCAGGAGAAGCTGATCTCTCCGCTGCCTCACGAACAGATGGGCTCCTGCTCAGAACCTGCTTTCTGAAGAGAGGGGCTTGAAAAGCTCTTTTGGCTGAAATTTCTAAGTAATACCACAATTTATAAGATGTAAAGTTGAAGCCCTGACCAATGTGGTTCAGTTCATTGGGTGTTGTCCCTCAAAGTGAGGGGTCACTGGTTTGGATCCTGGTCAGGGCAAACACAGGAGTGGGGGCAGCCAGTTGGTGTGTTGTTTTTCTCTCACACCAATATCTCTCTCCCCTTGTTGTTTCTCTCTCTCTCAAAAAAAAAAAAAAAGGAAAGAAAAAAATGATGCAAAGGTGAAAATAAGCCTGGCTGCTGCAGAACAGAGTCTCTATACCTGCTGGAGAAAATGCCATGTGTCTTTGTGTCAAATGACACGTGCTCAGCTGTGGGCATCTGATATGAGCACAGGAGGGCCCCTGGAGATAAAGGTCATGAAGCCTCAGGGGACATAGGATGGCTCTTCCTGGAGCTTTCATTTAACTTCTGGACATGCAGTAGATGGCAAAATGCGCACATATATTTAAGATGAAATATGAGAGTTCAAGGCAATTTCTTGCTAGTGATCACTTTAGGAGACCTGCATTCAGTCTTCTTGCTGGGGTGAGTTGTGAGAGTTGCCGACTTGGATGCAAAAGCCCCCTGGAGTGATATTCTTGGGCTCCTGTTTTCACATGAGCTTGGACTGCAAACTCTTGGGCTCCCTGGTAAGGGGACAATGGAGGGCCTGGGTGGTGGCTAGGACCTGTGCAGGGACGTCCCAAGTTGCTAGGGCCTGGCGCCCCAGACCATGCAGGCCCTCCCTGACTGCAAGGCCTGAGTGCTATTCACTGCCGAGCCAGAAAGATGGGGGTTGCATGGGGTGGGCGGGTTGGCAGCTAAGGAAAAAGAAGGTGGGGAAGGAGGAGGAGGAGGAGCAAAAGAAGGAAAGAGGGAAGAAAGAAGTTTGCTAGCAAGCCAACCAGACCCATTCAATCCTTTTTGGGGAGGCAAAGACTTCTTTGGCTAAATTGATCAAATCAATTTCTCTACAACCTTAGACTAATGCAGATGAACATTAGACTCTGTCGATTTCCCAATGTGACCAGATGAGTGGAGGGTTGAGGTAGGACCTTATCAGGGCCCAGCTCGGCTATACACAAATGCCTGGTCACTTTTGGGAAGGTTCAGAGTGCATAGATGAATTTGATGGTGCAGGATGGTAGCTGATCAATTAAGAAGGCTTCCTGGGGGAGGAAGACTTTGAATGTTTGAAGCAAATTTCCATTGGCAGAGCAGAGTGTATGCAGAGATATGCCCTTAGTTTGGTGGGTTTGGGCGTGTGGGATTATCAGCACACGGTGTGATAAACACAGGCCACTCTGTCCCGTGCAGCTAAGCTTTTGCTCCTTCACAATCTCACAGGGAAGTTTCCCGGCTTCTTGGCTTTTCAGATGATCGGAACCAATCCCCACATAATCCTGGCTGAGGAGAGGGAGACTTGGGCAGGTTAAGAAGGAGCCCAAGATGACATTTGGCTGGGTGATCAATATTGTAGCAGAGAGGCCCTGAGGGTTAGGATAAGGTGTTACTGGCCACTGACTCTGCTCTCCAGGTCTCCTATGAGTATCTTCAGTGACCACAAACAGGCAAGCCACCCTCTGGCTCTGTGAGGCAAGCTCCTGACACCAGCAATGCCAAAACTGTGCCCTGGCAGTTGACCACTTAGAGATAATACCTTTGACCATAAAGTACTGTGCAATCAGCTTCAAATAAATATTCAGTTGGCTGCAAGACCAGCTCCTCCTCCTTCCAGGTTCTCACAGAGATCAGGGGTGTCAGGTCTGGAAGTTTTAAGATGAATATTAGCACAAGGGATGGGAGAGGAGAGACTAAGAACTAGGACAGTGCTGTCCTCGACCTATGTTTGCCCTGAAAATTGGAAGTGACAGCTGTGGCTGAATTTTCAGGCAGAGGTGCCCTTTGAGAGCTGGGCCTGTGCAAACAGGGTAGCAGGTTGTCACTGCTGCTGACATGCCCATTCTGGTGCACAAGGCGCTAGACCTGCCTTACCTGAGAACACCCCAGAGGCAGGTCCACATTAGGTCCATGTCTGTACCCTTGCTGCCATTTCCCCAAGGTTAAACTGAGTGAAATAGAGTGGAATCTGAGCCAGATGCTGGGTGGAGTCCCACAGTTGATCCCCATTTATTTAGAAGCCTCCATTTATCCAGGCATTCACTCCCTCATCCACCATGGCTTTTACCAGAGTGGACTAGTCACAAAACATTTTAGTCCCTAATACCCTTTGTTCTTCAAGCTGTGTGGAAAGGCCAAGGAGGTGGGGTAGGCAGGCATACTAGAACAACCACTTGGGGCAAATGGTCCCCTGAATTGGAGCTGAGTCCACATCCCCACACTTCATTCTCTTGGCCTCCTGCAGTGGCTGGCCCCTGGCCGGGAACAATGCCAACACCTGCAACAACTCAGAGGAGTGAGTACTTCTCCCCGAAGAGCCCCCGCCTCCCCTCCTCCCCATAGACGCCCCACCTTTGCCTCACTCCTTAAGTATCCCTGCTTCCCATCCTCTCAAAACACTGCCAGACCATTCCAGAACCCTGTTCCTTTCATTGGACTTCCATTCCTGTGGACAAACGGGGGAGGGACCTGGTCTGTATAACTTCTTAGGGCAAGTCTTTTTATGTCTTTGTCTCAGTTCTCTTAGCTATAAAGAAGGGGTGGATGGGATTGATGTTTTCAGCTTGAGCACATCTATTGCTGTACAGTTGAGTGTGAAAAACTGGAGCTCCTGTACAGAGCACTGGGCATTCTCCTTCACAAAACCTCAGGCTCCCATGTGCCAGTGAAATGCTCCTGTCCCAAAGGTCAATTCAGGCCAATTGGAATGTGGAATCAAGGCAGAGGGAAGAGGAAATTTAAATATTTTCAGGCCATAGCCTCTAGAAACGGTCACCCACTGTAATTACTTTCTGTCACCAGACACTAAGCCAGCAGATCAGTGTGATGTGTGGTCATGGCAAATGCCACCCAAGAGCCCAAGGAGGGAATGTGCATGTGTGATCATACATGCATGTTAGTGTGTGAACACCATTCTCTTGCCTTGTTCATGGAATACCATGGGAATAGGTAGAGGAGAACATCTCAGTCAAAGCTGAGAGAAAAACCATCAAAACCAGCAAGAAATGCCAATTTCTTGACTTCCAATTGAAAGAGAAATGCACTAAGATGTTTTTTATAACATTTTATTTCCAAGACTTTTTTTGTTATTTCCTTTTTTCCCTCCAGTAGAACTTTTCTCCCTCACCCTTCATGAGCCTTAGTTGCATTTTGTTTGCAGAAATTTGGGCATCAAATCCAGAGACCCAAATGCCAGCAATCAAGAAAAATGAAATTATTTCAGCTACAAAACAATAGCTATTGCAGTATGTGCTTGACTTAGACCCAAGCCTGATATTAAATACCTTTGAAACCAGGTTTTGAACCCCACAGTCAGGGAGAGGCTCGGGTGCTAGAAACCGTGGGCAGAGGTCCTGGGGGTCTCTAGGCTTCTCTGTCCTGGGGCTGGCATGTGGTTGAGGATGGGGGTGGATGGGGGTGGATGGTGTTGGCTGCACCTAGCTCTTATAAACCTTTCAGATGGACTCATATTATATCAGTGGGTCCACACTACAGCCAAGGACCAGGGGACAAAATTGGAAACTGTCCCAAACAGGGCCACCTAGACACAGAGATGCAGAAATAACTCTGACGGACATGCATCCCCTTTTTCCACCTCACTTCTGGCATTTTCCCCTTAGTCCCATGAGTCCTGAATCTCCCTCCACGATCAAAGTGTTCCAACCAAAACCAGTCTTGCTTTGAAGCTATGTGTATGTAGGTCTTTTGGGTCAGTGCTGGGTGGATTTGGCAATGCAGCTGGCTGCTACAGGGTCTTTCCTAGGCCCTTGGAAGGTTGGTAGCCAGAAGAAAGGCTAAAGCCTGTACCTGGTGCAATTAAAACTCCCAGCATGGCTTAGCATGCCCAATAAGCATGGGGGCAGCGCCCTCTGCTGGTGTTTTGATATTAAGACTTGCTCTTCTCACTAAAGTTTAATAAATTTTATTCTTATCCAATGTATTTATATGTGCATTGTCAAAACTTCCAAAACACAGAAGAGCAAACATGAGCATATACCCACAGAAAATTACACTTCATGTTAACAGTGGAATCCCATTATCAGAGAAAACCCTTCTTAACATGTGTGCAAAGATACCTCCCAGTTTTTTTCCTAGGTATGAAAATTGAATGGATAGATAGACTGTATTTAATGCACATACTGATTGAGAGCATTTGTATCCCAACTCAGCCACCTCAGGTCTTTGTCACCATGGGTATATTACCTGACCTGTCTGTGCATCAACTACCTGACTTGTAAAACAGATATTGTAATAGTCTCTTACTTTCACGTTTGTATGAAAACTAATGTGTTAAAATATGTAAACTGCTTAGAGCAGTGCCTGGTACATAGTCAGTGCTCAATGAATATTGACGAGTATGTTAAGCAGAATAATTTCAGGCTACAGCTGGAACCAGGCTTAGGGGTTGGGACCTCAGGCTGCAGGTCCACCTGGGTCAGCTGTGTGAGCTGCTGGCCGGGCCTCTGCAGTTCCCACTGAGCCTGGCCCTCCTGGCCACCCCGCCTCATTTGCCTCTCTGCGCCTCCGCCATCCTGCTTCTTGCCACAGGCCTATGAGCAGCTGCTTCCAATGTGCTGGAATTCACTGGCGACAACTTCTTTAGAGAGTCGCATCTCTGACACAGGCTCTGCAGCCCTCATGCTCTGTCAGGTTCTTCGCCCCCTGGTGTGGACCCTGCAAGAAACTTCCCTTGAATATGAAGCTGCAGCTACCAGATTAAAGGGAATTGTTCCATGAGCAAGGGTTGACTGTACTGCCAACACCAACACCTGTAGTAGGTACGGAGGCAGTGGACAGTCAGCCCTGAAGGTATTTGGAGATGGTGTAGAAGCAGGTGCTTATGGTGGCCTGGGGCTCAGATGGAATTGTCAACCACCTGAAGAGCAGGCAGGACCAGCTTCAGCTCCTCTCAGGGATGAGGAAGAATTTGAGGAGTTCCTTAGGGATAGAGATGCTTCTGAGGTGGATTTCTTCAAGGATTTATTCAGTAAAGCTCACTCCGAGCTTCTAAAAGCAACCAGCAACCTGAGGGATAACTACTGATTTGCTTACAATGATGGTGAGTTCCTGGTGAAAAGCATGATGGTCACGCAGAGGGTATCACCTTGTTCACCTTCACATCTGACGAACGAGTTTGAGGACAAGATGGTGGCCTATGCAGAACAGAAGATGTCTCGTGGCCAGATTTAAAAATGTACCCAGGAAAGCATGCCTGGTGTCTGCCTCACACAACAGGAGACAATAACTTGGTACGGGGTGAAGACTAAGGGCTCACCCTGATGAGGGCGATGAGGAGAATGCTCCGAGTTCCACTGCTGGGGAGGCAGGGTGGTGATGGGGGCACAGAGATTCCTGGGAGGATGCTGGACCAATCTCAAGTCTGCTGCAGCGAGATGCAAAACCTTTACCCCCGAACTTTCCGATTTCAATCTGGAAAGCACTGCCAAAGAGGTTCTGCTGTTGCCGTCGGAACTGCCAAAGGAGAGAAGCCTGTGGTGCAGCAGGAGTTCTCACATGATGGCGCGGCTCTGGACAGACCCCTGCGGGATTACTCTGGTGGTAACCCACAGGGATACCTGAAGGCTGGGCCTGTCCTGGAGAGCAGCAGCCGTCCCATAAAAGTAGTGGTAGGTAGAACAATGGTTCACCGTGATGCCTGGGCCCTAATCCCCACTCCTGTGACTATATCACCTTACACGGCAAAAGAAGCTTTGCAGATGTGATTAGGTTTAAGGACCTTGAGTTAGCAGATGATCTTGATCGTAGAGTATCAAGGTAGGCCTCCTGGAATCACACATATCCTTCAAAGTACAGAACCTTTCCCCGCTGCAGGGAACCAGAGAGACAGCATCTGAAAAAGAACTCAACCTGCTACTTCTGGCTTTGAAGATGGAAGAAGAGTACTACAAACCAAGGATGCAGCAGCCTTGGCAAGCTGGGAATGTCTTCAGCTTACAGCCAGCGACAAAGTGTGGATATTGGTTTTATAAGCTCAAGGAACTGAATTCTGCCAACAATCCAAGTGAGCAGGAAACAGATTCTCCCCCAGTGTCTTCAGAGGGGCCGCAGCCCTGTGACACCTTGACTTCAGCCTGGTGAGACACATACCACACTTCTAATCACAGATCTGCGAGATAACTTTGGGTTGTTTAAAGCCATGAAGTTTGTGGCAATTTGTTCTGCCAGCAGCACAAACAAACACAGCTATTATTATCAACTCTTGTGTAATCTGCTTTGTAACTGCTGAACATCACGACCATTTCCCCGTGTCACTGAAGACTCTCCAACGACATTTGCAGAGGCCCTGTTGGATTTCACTGTTGATGATGAGTCTCCTACCGTTGTGTGATTGGATTGCCTGTGCTGTTTGATTGTTATAAATAATGGCAGTGACTATTCTTTTGTATGCTTGTTTGCACAAAGCTTTGATTATTTCCTTAGGAAATGCTATGTAAACTGCATTGATCTTCTTCAATGAGTGTTTAATGAGCCAACATTTATTTCTCATCCAGTGTCCTCCTTCAGGGTGTGGAATAGGGAGTCAGAGGGGCCCACAGTTCTGGTGGGGACCCCTGAGGCAGCCAGGTTGCTTCCCTTCTTCCTTTTTTCCTCATCTGTTCAATGGGCGGCAATGCCTGACTTGCCGAACGAACTATTGTCACTGTTAACAGAGAAGTCCTTCCTTTAAGGACTGACTGTGCCCAGTTCTTAAAGGGCAGCTGATAAAGACGAGGAAGCAGAGTAAAGCCCTGTGTAAGCAGGCAGCTGCACTCACGGGACAGACCTTCGGGCCCACGGCTTTCCACCCACAGTCTTGGGCGACTCTAAGATGAGCCACCTGTGGCGAACCTGTTCTCACCTGCAGGCGGCTGGCTTCCCTCCAGCCCCCAGCCTGCTCATCAAGGCCAGGTTTCCATTTGATCAGAGGCAGATTTTGAGAACAACCAAGGGGCCACGCTCTTTCCTTCAGAACAAAGTGCTTTAAAGGTGACTTCCAAGACTCTCAGTGACTTTTTCACACTAAAAGTGTGGGTTGGGTGTACTTCCCATTACCTCAACATGTCTCCAGTCCTAGCTGTTCGTGACGTCCTCAGGGCTCATGAAAATGGGCTGGAACTCGCACAACACCTGCAAGGCTGAACCACTGCACACACCTCAATGTGCACACTGTGAGCTGCACTGGCTGGCGTGCCTCACACTTCAGGGTGATGATGGTGATGATGATGATGATGATGATGATGATGATGATTACTACTATTGCTATCAAATCAGTAACTCCTTTCACCTCAGCATGCTAGAAACACCCACTCCCCACCCTAGCCCTCTTCCTCCGCATCAGTCCGGCTTACCCTCTCCTCGTGGTAGTGTCTGTGGTTTATGAAAATTGCTTAATGTCACCCTGTATCATCAGTGACAAGGCAAGAGAAGAGAAGAAAGAGAAAAGGGAAGAAGAGAGAAAGAAAAACTGCCTAAAGCAAGAGGAGTAAGTACTGAGAGAAGTGCTCCCCAGGAGGGGCTCAGTAGTCACGTGGAGCCTGCCCCTGCCCAGGGACCCAGGGCCTGGGAATAAGAGTGACGCCGTCATGCTTCAGGGTAGCCCTGGAGAGGAGGCTGGTGACGGCTACAGAAGAGGAGTTGGTCCCAGGCCAGGGTCAGGCCTATGAGGTCCTGTGGGGGTCTCATCCTGCAGGGAGAGTCCTGGCCCAGCTCCGGACTCCGAGGCGGTCTTATTGGTAGAGAGGGTGGTCTGCAGCCTCTGGGGAACAGCTAGGGGATGCCCCTGTGAACCTGTGCAACCCACCACCCCCAGGCATTCTGTTTGCCCACACAAGTGCCATCCACACAGTCAGGTAAGCCGAGGCCTTCTCTGGGCACCTGGAAGTACTATAGTCACAAACCTTAATCCAAACCTAGTGCTGGTAAGTGTGTAGAACAGTTCATGTCCTATCAGTGAGCAGGTAATCTTGCACTTGCTGAGTCCAGGCGAGGGCAGGAAGGCCCCCGGGGCTCCCCCAAGGCAGAGCTGGGACAGCACATAGGTCATGTGGGCTGGAGGAGGGGGCCCATGGACCCAAAGAAAAAGCATCGTTAGCACTGCCTGTAAATCTAATCCTCAGGAAAGTGAAAATGGAAAGCACCCTAAGCCATCTGTCCTCTTGGTGTTGCCTGCCTCACCTGCGTGTGCACAGGGTGGTGGTTTTGATGGAGAGGCAGGATCCAGGTGCTTGGAAATGAGCCTTTAGAACTCCTGTGCAGATGGTGTGAGCAAGGTGGGAAGTGTTCCCCAGGGAGGGCCCGGACTCCCAAATGCTGTCCAGAGAGGAGCTGCCTCAGAACCATCCAGCAATGTGTGGATTCGCGTTGGCAGGCTCCAGCCCTGGAGGGGGTTTGGGTGGACCCCAGGGAACTGCATTTCACAAAGCTCCCCAAGCAGTTCTGAGGCTCCACCCACAGCCCTTGGAGACATCACCATGCTGCATCTCGATTCCCAGCATCCTGAAGGTGCGGATGTACCACTGTGATGCTACAGCCAGCTTGGCTTCCCGGGGAGCAGAGCTGGGACGGAGGGACTCCCAGAGTGTGCCCTGCCTCCCGGCCTGTCTTCCTGTGCAGGGACACCCATGTGACCCTTGAGGCCAACACTCTGGGACAGCCCTGTCTAGAGCTTCCACCTGCCATGGCCTTAGGGTTCCTAAGCTGGGCAGGGTTTTTAAGACCCTCCAAGCTGTGGTCTCCCAGCACACTGTACTGTTTATGGGTGTCTGTGTTTCCAGAAAGAAGGACACCATCGTGGTGGACCCCTCCAGCAGCATGTACTACCGCTGGCTGACTGTCATTGCCCTGCCTGTCTTCTACAACTGGTGTCTGCTGGTGTGCAGGTAGGGGTGGGCCTCCACCCAGGGGAGGTAAGGGAGAGGGAGGGCAGCCAGGCATCAAGACAGAACTCTGAGCCTCACTCCAGAGCCTGGGCTCCTGGGCTCCTCTCAACCACCATCTAGCTGCTTATACCTCCGTTTCTCCATCTGTAAGCCGGTTCTAGAACAGCGCCATCAGGGTGCTCTGAAGCACTGGTGGGACCTGTGCTCAGGACTGACAGCAAGGATCCTGGCTCCTTGGAGCCTTAATGGAGTTGCAGGAGGAAGAGGAAGCGGGCCAGGAGAGGGGCACTCCTGAGCAGCTTGTGGGACAGGGTGCAGGTCAGGGGCACTGTTCTGTGATTGCAAGCTGTGGGCTGGGCCTTTTGGGAGAGTGTGCAGGATAAGATGCTGCTCTTATGAAGGCAGCCAGAGCCTTTGGGGTGCTCCTGAGCGGGCTTGCAGGACAGGGTGCAAGTTCCTAGGCAAGTGTGACTTCTGGGATGCAAGGGCGAGCTGTTGCTCTTCTGGGGATAAGCAGAGGCTCAGAACTTTCCTTGGTAAGCTGCAGGACAGAAATGGGGGCAGGCTACAGCTCTCTGGGGGCAAAGAAAGTGTACAGGAGAGGAATGTCAGGATGGGTTGTTTCCCCTCTGATGGCATAGGCAGGGGTCAGCAGGCATTTCTGAGCAAGGTACAGGGCAAAAATTCAGGGACAAGAGGCTGCATTTCTGAGAGCGATCTATGGCTTTGGGGCATTGTTGTTCAAGTTCAGAGACAAGAATGCAAGGGTGAAGGGGCTCATGGAGCTGGCGCGAGAGGGACCTGGAGGGGATGAGCAGGTGCAGCTACTCTTCTGAGAGGTAGGGGCTTTGGAAGTTTCCTTAGCAGGAATCCAGGGACAGAGCTGTTGCTCTTCTGGGTGTGCAGGAGGGCTTGGGCTTTTCTAACCAAACTTCAGGACATGAGAAAGGGTGAACAGCTGCTCTTTGAGAGTTAGCAAGGGGTTGGGGGCTCTTCCTGGCAGGCCTGCAGGACAAGGATGCAGGAGGAGCTGCTCCTCTCCTGAGGGTAGACAGAGGGCACAGGAAAGGTGGCAGGGGAACTTTGGGCCCTTCCTCAAGGCTGCAAGGCAGGTAGGACTACTTCTGGGGGGCAGGGGTGCAAGGTATTGGGGCTTTCCTAAGTATGTGGTAGGACCAGGATGCAGGGGTGAGATGCTGCTCTGTGAGCAAGCAGGGGCTTCAGGGCTTTCCTGAGCCAGCCTGCAAGGCAAGAATGAAGGAGTGGGTCCTGCTTTCCTGGTGGGTGTGGGAGCCACCTGATGGTGCTGCGATGCAGGGATGCAGGGACCCATGGCTCTTGGGGTGTGAGCAGGGACTTTAGGATTATTCAAGCAAGAGGCAGGCTCTTGCTCCTCTGAGGGTAAGTGTGGGGGAAAAGAAGGGGAGAACTCAGGGCCTTTCCTAGCATGCCTGGGAATACAGAATTGAGCTGCTGCTCTTGGGGGCCAGAGGGATATTTTGCAGGCATTTTCTGTATGAGAAATAGTGAACATAAAGATCTAGAAAGTAGAAAATGTCTACTGGTTTGTTCAGTCATTAATCTCCCAAAAATTTTCATATTTTTGACCCCCAAAAGGGCAAGTCCTCAGCCCCTTCACCTGACATCACCAGGGAGGCCTAGAGAAAAGGCACTCTGCCCCCCAGGGTCTCAGAACTTCCTTCTCAAAAGCATCAAGGCCCACTCATTGGGGTCAATCCCAGCTCTTCCGAGCTATGTGACCTTGGGACAGAAAAGCTCCTCAGAGCCTGGGATGCTAACGCTGGGGCACAAACCCTACAGGCCAGGCTGTTACTAGACCAGCCAGCTCAATGTTTGCAGCACTGAGCCCGTGCCCCAGTGGGCAGCCTGCCCCCACACCCACTCCTTGTCATGCTGTTTAGGGCCTGTTTTGATGAGCTCCAGTCTGAGCACCTGGTGCTGTGGCTGGTCCTGGACTACTCGGCTGATGTCCTCTACGGCGTGGATGTGGTGGTGCGAGCCCGGACAGGTGAGTGTGCCCCCACCTGGGACCCTCTGGGCCAGGCCCAGGCCCCACATCAGGAAGGGTCTGGGGGGAACCACAAGTCATGTTCAGGAAGATCCAGATGGTGGAGTAACGCTACCTACCCCTGACCACTAGAGACCAAGACGGCCTGGGGAACCTCCAGTAGTGAGGTGGGCGATGCTACCTCAAGCTTCCTGTACAGTGACTCATTGGACAGGGCCTCATTCATATTACCTATGAAATAGGAAGGCCACACCATCCCCTCAAAGCTCCCCTCCAGGTCAACATTGCTGGAAGCAGAAGACATCTCTGTCAGTCTTCCCCAGGAGAGTCAGAGGACCCAGGCCATGTCACTCTGTGGCTTTTACAGGAGTATTTGATATGGAGAACTGAAATCTAAAATAAGCCCTTTGCTACAGACTGCCTCTGGTTGCAAGTGGGAGATAAACACCCCCATGCCTCAGCCTCCAAGCCGTGCACCTTTGGGGCACCTTTTTCTAATTTGCATGGATGTCACATAAGCTAGTGGAGGCCCTGCTTGTGACTTCCAAGATTTTTTTTAACTAAAAACTGTGCCATAGTCATCAATATAAACACCACTGGATCGCAGCAACAAACCACTTGGCTTCACAGTGTACACAGCATTTCAGCACATCTCATTTCCACAGTAGGACTGCTACATGAGAGAGCTGTGCGGGCATGACTCTCTCCATGAGCTGACTTAGAAACTGAGGCCCAAAGAGGCTGAGTGACTGGCCCAGAGTCCATGGTCACTACCCAGCAGCCCCCTGCTTCCACATCAGTGCCCAGCTTTGTATCAGAGGGCCTCATGTACACAGCTGGAAGCTTGCACGGGTGACATAGCCAGTCCTGGGGGTCGGCCACTCCATGCTCACGTAAGCCTGCCAAGACACCTGAGTTCCTGGAGTGGCCCAACACACTGGGCCAGCTGTTCCTGTTTCAACCAAGCTTCAGGAGGACAGGTCACTCTGACTCAGACGGCGACCACCCCCCACCTCCTCATGTTTTGGTGCTGTCCCTGGCAACTGAGATTCAACAGGGAGCCAGGGGACAAGGGGACAGGTGGGCACAAAAACAAATTGACTATGGATTATATTTCAGAAGGGAAAAAACCCTTCAAAATTGAGAGAAGATGTAATAAGGAAGTATTGAGGAGTCTCAGGGCACAAGGAGTGCCATGAAACGATCTAGGTTCTCAATAAACATGAGCATAAGCAAAGAATGAAATAAGGAATAGGGGACTGGGAAATAGGGTGCCCCTAACATGCAACAACATACTTGATGTTTGTTTTACCCAGGGGGGCAGTCCTACCTCTGTCTGCCTCAAGGCGTGGCCCTGGACCCGCAGCAGCACCCCCGGGCCTGTGGCAAGTGCCCAGGCCTCACTTCAGGGAGAGGCCCTGCTTCCCGTGTTTCACAGCCCTCAGGCTGGCTTGATACTTACCAAATTCTAAAAATATTTGTTAAATTATTCTTTCTACTTTTATGCATTTTTGAAAATATTTTTAAAAAGAGAAGAAGAAAAACAATGCAAGTCGTGCTCACTGGATTGATTTCACCAATAATCCAGTAATTATGCCTCATGACTCTCAATGTCCAGACTAGTCTGATTTTGGGGGGTAGGTTTCAGGCTTCACATGTTTCCAAGCCCCTCGGGTGACCATCGTGTGCAGCCAGGAAGGAGCACGGCTGCTTTCCTAGATGATGTCTTTCAAAGGCAGGTCACGACCCAGTAGTGACTGGTGAAATCAACTGGATAGGCTATGATCTGTGCTTTTAAAATTGTACTAATATTTTCAAATATACAGAAAATTAAAGTGAGTAGTATTATGATCTCCATGTCCCCTCACCCAGCTTCAACGTTTTGCTAACCTTGTTTCATTTACCCTTTCCACCCCTTTTCTTGACTGGAATATTTTAAAGCAAATCCCAGACAGTAACCCCTTCACCATGTATGTTTAACTTTAAAGGACCCATTAAAAATATCACTTTCATTTATGTTTCAAAATTTAATAATCATTTCTTTCTATCTTTAATACCCAATCTACATTTAAATGGACCCAACTGATCTCTTTTTAATTGAATCAAATGGATTAGAACATTATAGACTAGTAAATATCAGAGTTCATTTCCTGCAGTAATGATACGTATAGTTTTTGACATGGTTTCTATTACTTGTCTATAACTACGTCTCTTGCAGTCATGTTGTAAAATATCTCTCTGTGGGCCATGGTCAGAGAACCCAGCTTCTCTGATGCCCAAGTGACCTTAATCTCCTTCTTTAGGCTTCCTCGAGCAAGGCCTGATGGTCAGAGATACCAAGAGGCTGTGGCAGCATTACACAAAAACCTTGCACTTCAAGCTGGATGTGTTGTCCCTTGTCCCCACAGACCTGGCTTATTTTAAGCTGGGCATAAACTACCCAGAACTGAGGTTCAACCGCCTACTGAAGTTTGCCAGGCTGTTTGAATTCTTCGACCGCACAGAAACCAGGACCAACTACCCCAATGTGTTCAGGATTGGGAACTTGGTTTTGTACATCCTCATCATCATACACTGGAATGCCTGCATCTACTTTGCCATTTCCAAGTCCATTGGCTTCGGGACAGATTCCTGGGTCTACCCAAACATCTCAAACCCAGAGTATGGGCGCCTTTCCAGGAAATACATTTACAGTCTCTACTGGTCCACCTTGACCCTGACCACCATTGGTGAGACCCCACCCCCTGTGAAAGATGAGGAGTATCTCTTCGTAGTCATAGACTTCCTGGTAGGTGTCCTGATTTTTGCCACTATTGTGGGCAATGTGGGTTCCATGATCTCAAACATGAATGCCTCACGGACTGAGTTCCAGGCCAAAATTGACTCTATCAAGCAGTACATGCAGTTCCGCAAGGTGACCAAGGACTTGGAGACACGGGTCATTCGGTGGTTTGATTACCTGTGGGCCAACCGGAAGACGGTGAATGAGAAGGAGGTGCTCAAGAGCCTCCCAGACAAGCTGAAGGCTGAGATCGCCATCAACGTGCACCTGGACACACTGAAGAAGGTCCGCATCTTCCAGGACTGTGAGGCTGGGCTCTTGGTAGAGCTTGTACTGAAGCTGCGGCCTGCAGTGTTCAGCCCGGGGGACTACATCTGCAAGAAGGGGGACATCGGGAGGGAAATGTACATCATCAAGGAGGGCAAGCTGGCAGTGGTGGCTGATGATGGGATCACCCAATTTGTGGTCCTCGGTGATGGGAGTTACTTTGGGGAGATCAGCATCTTAAATATCAAGGGGAGCAAGTCAGGGAACCGTAGGACGGCCAACATCAGGAGCATCGGATACTCAGACCTGTTCTGCCTTTCCAAGGATGACCTTATGGAGGCACTCACCGAGTACCCTGACGCCAAGAAGGCCCTGGAGGAGAAAGGACGGCAGATCCTGATGAAGGACAACCTGATCGATGAGGACCTGGCCAAGGCTGAGGCAGACCCCAAGGACATCGAGGAGAAGGTGGAGCACCTGGAGTCCTCCCTGGACACCCTACAGACCAGGTTTGCACGGCTCCTGGTTGAGTACAATGCCAGCCAGATGAAAGTGAAGCAGCGTCTCAGCCAACTAGAAAGCCAGATGAAGGCCTGTGGGAGCAGCCCTCTGTTTGATGAGGATGCTCTAGAACCAGAAACCAAACAACAGTGAAAACACAAAGGTCTGTCTCCTACTTCCCAGAGTCAGCTGTCAGTGTGATAGCAGGTAGCCAACAAGGCAGGGGACTGGGCAGGGCTGCATTCCAGCTCTCCTTGCCCTTTGCAGGCTGTATGGTCTTGGCAGAGAGCCTCGGGTTTCTCACCTAGAAAATGAGACTTGTTATGTCAGCCTCAGTGAAGTGGTAGGTTATTATGGGGTCCACATGAACATGCAGGACTTTGTAAAGTGCAAGGTGTCACAGTCCAAGCATATGAAAATGTAGGAACTGAACTCTTATTTTTTTTATCTGTAAGGAATTTAGACTTCTGATCTTCCTTTTGTATAATTGAACTGTGGTTTACTCTCCTTCTCCCTTCCCCTCTGGCACCTGCACCACCTGCCATAAAGGGAGAAGTAACAAGAGGCTGAAAATACAATGTAGTAACTAACTCAAATCAACCTCACACAAGGCAGTCTGAGGCAGATTTCTGAGCCTGGTATCTCCTCATGGGTTCTTTGGGACTCTAGAACCCCTGGCCTTTAGTGGTGCTGTGACAAGCACGGGATGAAGCAAGACCACCCCATCTGAGGTCACTTCAAGTCTGTGATGCAAATCTGGACACAGTGCCATCTAGCCCCTGTGAAATGGGAATCTGTTTCATGGAAAAGAGCATCTCAGTTGGGGAAGGAGATCTTCCTTCTAACTTGCCAAAGGGTTTCAAAGACAGCCTCTCTTGTCCTTGAGTGGGGGCTCTGAGGAGGCCTGTCCCGGCAGGAGGAGGAGTTATGTTTAGGGGAGAGCCTTTCAGGTTGGTGGTTGGAATGAGGTTCTCAGCCAAACAAAGCTGACAACTGAGACTTTAAGAAGATGAGATCCTCAGGCCCTATCTTTGCAAACTGCCTGTTCTCTCCCAGGAAGCCTCACCCTCCCTTGGAATTACATCTTGAGGAAAGCTTTTAGCTAGCAAAAAGCATACGGAGTGCAGAATGTAGCTTTTTAAAAAACCCAGTAAATAGGATTCCATTAACATTTTATAAGATATTTATGTAGTTAAGTTCTATGATTACAAATTATAATCTTAATGACGAGCCTTTGCTTAAATATGCATTGTAAATCACCCAAGAGGAGTCGCTCTCCTACTGTAGACAAGTCATATGGGCAAGTTTTTCTTTTCTTTTTCTCATTCATTCCCTCTCTTTCTCTCCCCACCCCCTTCCTCTCTCTTCTGAGACAAAATGCCCCATTTTGCTTTGGCAACTTTGAAGTCTCTGTGGTCTGATGTTATAATCCATATGCCACATTACTGTGCCCTGATATAGTTCATACAAAAGGTCTGCAGTTTTAAGTATGTATTGCGGATTTTTATGGGTCTCTTCTGGTTTTTATTATGACTCATTTCACCATTTTAATTGTTTGAAATAAATTTAAAAGGTTTGTTAAATAAAATTATAATCAAAGTTCATATCATCGGCAAAATACAACTAGCAATGTATTCTCAAAATGCATATATTTTAATAGCCTTAACTATTAGTTATGTCTACATCCATATTTGCAAGAAAAATAAAGACCTGAATTTAAAAACATTGAATAACTCCTGCTGCGTATTTTTCTATATTTTGTCATGAGGGAAGATGCAGCCTGATGTGTGTTTCCAAGGCCATGGCCTGGCTACCCCAGAGAGAACAGGCCCTGGTGAGCAGGGGACAGCTCGCTCCATGCGAGGGCATGCACACAGCCCGGAGCAGGTGGGAAAATGCAACCACAGCCGTGGTGTTGGTCAGAGTAAAGAAGTCAAAGCATTCAGATATACAAAGCTTATCCCAGGCTCAATTTGCTGGTATCCTTTGTCCAGGGTCATCACAGGGGTGCTCAGGCAGTTTGGGAAGGCATGCATGTACAGACAGGAAGCTGGAGGAGGCCTGCGTAATCACATTCCCAGCTTTTCCACTGCTTACACCCAAGGAGTTTGGTAGTAAGTTAGAAAGTGAGAAGTCAGGCCTGCTCTTGTTTAAGTCACAACCTTGCCACATGGGCACATCATTTTATCTTAAGGCCTCACTCACCCTTTTCACCTGAAAAGTAGGATTCTCACTGCCCACCTCATAGAGTTGTCATGAGTAATCATTATTTTCAACTAGTTAGCCTCCAACTTTCAAGATAGTTAAGAAGCTGAGTCTTGGGTCATTGTCAGGATTCCTATTCACTGACTTGGGAACTGAGACAGGGTTTCTGGCCTCCCAGTCCCTGTGGCTGCCCCGGAGGCCACCATTAGAACCCAGGCTTGGAGATAGCCTCTCATGGAAGTGTGTGCGTGCGTGCCTGTCTGTGCCTCAAGACAGAGAGTCCCTGAAACAGGAAAGAAAGAAAATGGATATGCACTGAGTCAGGTTCCCTGGCAGAGCCCTCGGGAGGTGAGAGGTGGTAGGACCTCAGGTGAGGGGCTGGAGCCTTGGCTTTGTGGAACGCAGTCTGGCAAAGATTCCAGTGCCTCAGGCCTGGAAAGTTTCAAAGCTGTTAGACCTCGAGGATCCACGCAGAGTTGGACAACAGGTGTCTTGGCAGTAACTAGTATTAAAAAATATCTGAAAGTATTTGAAACTCAACTGAGTTATCAGGCAGGAAACCTGCTCAACCCCGCTGAAGCATTGGCCCTCAGAGATCTGATGCTCCCAGCTCTCAAAGTCAAACAGGGTCAGGGACCTAGAATAGCTTTCTCAGGACAACTCTGGTCTATCCTGACCCTTCTGCCAGCATTTTATCAAAGAGAAACCAAGGCAGCTTCCTTCTTTGGGCCTCATGGCCATTAGTAATACACCAAGGAAGAAAAAATGAGATGCAAAATGTGATGAACAAAATGGAGAATAAAAATGCTTTCCTGAAGTGCAGGGAGGGGTTTTGTCCAGTAAAGAAGAATATAGCAGCCCATGTCACCTAGCAAGCCTACTTCTGACTCCACATTATAAGAAAGCTCTCACCTATGTGTATCCAGGGATGGGTACAAATGTTTATTGTAGCACTGTCCTTAATAGAAAAAATAAGAAAGAACCTAAATATCAGAATCTAAGAACAAACTGGGATAAATATATAATATATTAGGTATTTCACCGAAGAGAATTTAATAGATGGAATGAATTGTATGGGCGTTAAAGGGCTAAAAGGGCAGAATCGGAGCACTGAGGTTATTTGGAGGGAGCAACTACAGGAGTAGCTATTGCACCCTCTGGCTGGGAGAACAGGTGCTGGAAGGTTAGCAACTCAGAGCAGGACCTTGGACCTTTGAGGAAGGGCTCCCACTGGCTGTTACTGGTAATGTAGGAACCCAGATGAGTTTGGCAAAGATGGGACTTTTAACACTATCTGAAGAGGTCAATGTATGGTGAGACTGGTCCTGGGAGGCCCCTCAAAAGGTCCCGAAAGAAGTCTGGAACCAACTGCCACTGTCATGATCTTCTGTTGCTGCTGGGACTATATAACCAGGACAGTAGGCAGACAGAAAAAGAAAGTCCGTCTCTGCTCCCCTTCCTTTCAATCTTTCTCCTAGAAAGTTCTAGAAAAGGAAGGACAGGAAGGAGGACTTTGGGCTTGACTAACAATGTTGTTTCATTTGTATTTATTTGTTTACAAGTGATTCTAATATTCCCTCAATATGTTTATTAGTTATTTGAATTTTATTTCCTATGCATTGTCCATTCCAAGCCTATTTTGTGATGACTAAACATTCCAGAGAAGCTGGATCACCCCTTGTAGAAAGGCTGGATAAGAAGAAAATCAAGTGTTATCAAAGTCACCCCAGGACATCTCTTGCATGGTCCTCTGCTGTCAGTCTAGAACTGCTTGTTAGGTCTAATAGAGCCAGTATTCCCTTCAGGGGAGCAGGTTGCTCACTCTTGGCAGGGGACCAGAGGAAAGAGTTGGCTTGTTTTTACTGACTCTGTGCAGGGCTGTCACATGTGGTTGCTGTAGTTGTGTACCACTCAAAAAGGTCCCTTCAAAAAAAATATTCTAAGAGGACTTCTGGTCAAGATGGTGGCACAGGCAGATATGGGTCACCTCTTCTCACAACCACATCAAAGTTACAACTAAATTTTTAGGACAAACATCACTCAGAACCATTAGAAATTGAGTTGAATAGAAGTCTGGCATTCACAGAATTAAAGAAACCACATCCATCCAGACTGGTGGGAGGGGTGGAAACACAGAACAGGCTTGGCCCACATCCACATGCAGGGGATAAAAACTCAGGGAGGCTATCTTGGGAATGAGGAGCCCCAGGCCCACAACAGGCCCCCCAGCCCAGGGTTCCAATGCCAGGAAGATAAGTTCCTGTAACTTCTGGCTGCAAAAATCAGCAGGGATTGAGTTGGTGGAAGAAGCTGCTGGAGCTTCTGGCCAAGATGGGAGATGTAGGTACACATTTTAATTCCTCACACAACCGAAAAAGGATAACAAGCAATTAAAAGAAAAAAAAAGCAACCAGAAATGCCAGAAAATCAAACTGTTTGGAAGTCTGACAATCCAGGAGTTAAAGAACAAATATTCATCCAGACTGGTAGGACAGGTGAAGGCAGGCAGCTGGGGTGGAGAGGACACTTGGCAAGGCAGTGGCTGGAGGACCAGATAGCCCCACATTTGTATGCAGATAACCTGGGAGGAACAAACGAGGTGTGAGACAGACCACACAACCCAGGATGTTCCAGCATGTGAAAATAAAGCCTCAAAACCTCTGGATCTAAAATCCTGTGAGGGCTGCAGTGGCAGAAGGAACTGCCAGTCTCACAGGAAAGTCCACTGGAGGGGCTCGCAGGGTTCCAGAATGTACACAAGCCCACCCACCCAGGAATCAGCACAGGGCAGCACCAGAAAGGGCACAGTTCATTTGGGGAAGTGGGAGAAGTGACTGAAAGTGGGGCAAGAGCCAAGCAAGCAGTGTTGTTCCCTCTCTGGCCCCGGCCCCCCACACAGTGCCACAACAAATCGAAGTGGGTTGCCCCACTCTGGTGAATACCTAAGA